ACTGCCCTGGCCGGTTTGGCTTAGCGGTTAGAACTTCCACCTGTGGACTGAAGGGTCCCAGGTTTCAATTCCAGCCAAGGGCACGTGCCTCAGTTGCAGGCTCCATCCCTAACCTCAGCCAGGGTGCATGCAGGAGCCAGCCAATCAATGCCCCCCCCCTTCCACTCTCCAAAAAGCAATGGAAAAAATACCCTCAAGTGAGGATTAAAAAACCCCAAAACCCCCGAGCTGTACTTAGAGAATGGCTTTCGCTTGCTTTTTAAGGCAAATGGTTTGGTAATTTACAAAGCAGTTTTCTATTCAAAGATTCCAAATGACCCAGTCTCCTGACAGGCCAGCCCCTCTTTCCACAGCTGGACGCACTTTATTGGAAGGAAACGATCTTCCCACCAAAGGCTAAGCAAGCTCAGGGTTCAGGGCAGATGCCTCAGTGGAGCTCAAGTGTGGAAAATGAAACACCCCCGGAAGCCTCGGCCACAGAGCTACATTAACGCCCGCAGCAATCACACGAAGTTTAAGCCGCTCTGTATTCACAACGAATCTGTGGAAAAAGGAAGAAAGAAAGTCCAAGGAAAAAATGTGCACTTAAAAAAGGAGAGTTTGAGGCCAAGGACAGCACTGAGGAAACCCTCAAATGCAAAGAACAGAAGTTGGCTTTTGCTTTTCCTTTTTAAAAAAATCCTCACCTGAGGATTTTTTCCCCATTGCTTTTCAGAGGAGTGGGAGGAAGGTGAGGGGAGAGAAACACTGATGTGAGAGACACTGATTGGCTGCCTCCCCCACACACCTCAACTGGGTCTAGGGATCGAGCCTGCAACCCAGGTACGTGCCCTTGGCTAGAATCGAACCCACAACCCTTCTGTGTGTAGGCCAACACTAACCACCGATTAGGGCACCTTTTGTTCCTTAAAAAAAAAAAAAAAAAAGACAAGTGTGATGCACTGCAACATGGACAAACCTCAAACGCATGGTGGAAGCAGTGGCCAGGAGGACACATCGTATGACTCCAGCTATGGCAACTGCCCAGAAGTGAATCCAATGAAAAGCTGGACAGTGACCGCGGGCTGGGAGAGTTTGGGAGGTGAACAGTGACCACTGTGAGAGTTTGGGAGGTGAACAGTGACCACTGTGGATGTTTATGGGGAGAAAATGCTCTGAAAGCTGCCGGACAGCGGTGCAGACCTGGAAGAGGTCAAGACCATGGGCCGCACTTGACTGGACAGACTGCAGTGCCACACAACTACCCTTCATGAGTCCCCTTGTTAACAGAGGAATCAGGAGATTCCTTGTCTGTGGAGCGTCAGGTGAATTCAGGTTTCCTGGACTATTTGTAGACAATCCCCAAAAGGAAAATGGCAACAAAACTGTTACTAACCTCGCCTGGCTTTACTAGAGCTTGGAGCACCTCCCTCCCTTTAGTTCTAGTTTAACGAGGTTTCCACCCCACCCCCAGCCCCACAGCCCTCAAGAGTTCCCAGAGGGAGGCTCAAAGGGACACAGGCCAAGGTGAGCTGGAGGCAGGAGTCATTCAGTCCCTTAAGTCCTCCTGCTCCTGCTGGGGGAGAGAAAACCAAAATCAAAGCCGGCTATTTACAGCTAACTATTTAATCAAGTCCTCTGACTCTAATGGGAATACTGGCCAAACCCCAGAGGGTCAGGTCTTGGGAATACTGGAAAGCGGGCACATGCAGGGACCCGACCCCTGGCTGCACTGAGGTGACAGTGGGGACGAGCCTGCAGGTACCTCCAGAACCCTATCATTCTCTCCATGGAAAACTGATCTGCTGAATGTTGTTTACCTTCCAGTTACATGTTAAATAGTTTCCTGGCTTCCCACCACAGGTTATAGTAACTGCCACTTCTGCAAAAGCCCATCAGGTATTCTGTTCCAGACCTGGGTTCTTAGCTCTTAGCTGCATGAATCATGAGCAAATGAGGCAGCAAGCAAATCTCGAGGCCCCTTTGCAGCCAGATGCTTGTCCCATCGCTAATCAAGTACCCCCTTCCCACATTACCAGGGTATTCCCCCCACTGATGCAACAACCCTCCCTCACCTGCAGCATGTGCAGTGTCCAGTGACCCCTGGAGCAGATGTCCCTCCACTACTGGTCCAGGGCTGCACTTGAGTCAAGCTGAGCACCAAGCGAAAGGTTGTTCCCCGCCCCCCCAGGAGACAGAAGTTCCACCCAAGTGAAGTCGATAAAGCAACAAAGGTGTCCCTCTTACTCCCAGAGCTGTGAAGGGCAATCAAAAGGGAAGTGGACTTTCCTACACAGGGTCCCCAGGAGACAAGTACTGTGGGTGACAGTGGGCATCCCCCCCCCCCC